TAATTTATCATTTTATTGAGTAAGCAGTTTTTTGAAAGCAGTTTTCAATTATACATGTGTTTTTTCTTGGCCAAAAACAGGAATTTTATTATGAACTTTATATTTTATATTAGGCTGAACACTCTGTGAATTTTTTTTTCTTTTTTTTTTTTGCGTTTTTCTTCCATGGATTTTAACACACACTAACCAGAAAAATAGTTTTAAAGGGAGCAGTGGAAGCGTTGATTTGAAAAGCGTTGAATGTTACGATCCACAAACCGAGAAATGGTCCCCGGTGAAGCCTCTGCAACAGGCACGCAGCCATAATGGTTGGTGTTTATGCGTTTTATGCTTTGTAGCAGCAGTGCAAAACGAATATTGTCATGAGGGTGTGTATGTATGTGTGTGTGTGTGTGCACGCAGCAACTTGTCTGCAACTTTCATCTCGGGAACTACAAAAGCTAGGAAGCTGAAAATTTTGAGAAATGTTCCCCACCCAAGTATGATTCCGCAAATTTAAATTCAGCCTCCCCGTACCCCGCGAGTAACACGTACGAGCCCATGAAAGTTTTTGCAGGGGAAATTATTATCCCGGAAAACACGGAAGCTATAGGTATGCGCCTGCCTGCGTGCGATCCTAAAAATTTAAATTCAGCTTTCCTGTACCTGTGGGTAACATATACGGCCCCGTGGAACTTTTGGCGGGTAAACTATTACCACGGAAACCGCGGAATCTAAAAGGCTGAGATTTTAGGGGACTGTCCCCTGCTCATGCGCAACTCCTTAAATTTAAATTCTGATCAGTGGAAATCATTAGCAGGCAATCGTTCGGTGGATAGAATTGCACAAAACTCATAATCGCCTCAGTTGTCCTGGTGCACGCCGTTTGAGTCATTGTGCCAGCGCTTCCTACGGTTTCCTCGCGACCCAGCTAGGATGATGCAAGGGAGTACATAACGACGGCTGGCCGGCCTAGCACATGAGGGTTTGCCGTAAATTATTCAAAATGAGAGAAGGATGTGTATTCTGTGTTTCAGGCTGCGCGACTCTCGATGGGTTTATATACTGCATCGGAGGTTGCTGTGAACAGAGTGTTCTAGGCAAATGCGAAAGGTATCAGCCGGAGCGCGAGGACGACCAGTGGACAGCATTACCCGAGTTAAAAATACCGCGCTTTCAAGTAATCGCTGCTTAACATCCGTCTTCCAGAATTCATGCATTTTTCACATTAAGTGCAAATTCCTATAGGATATCTGCATATGTGCTGTTGTTGTATGTGATTGTAATGTGTGTGTACGTATGTATGTATGTATGTATGTATGTATGTATGTACGTATGTATGTATGTATGTATGTATGCATGT